TTTTTTTGGCGGTGTCTTCGTGGTCGACGTTTCTTGATTGCACGTACACTCTGAGATGGGTTTCCGCGGCAACTTCTCTCAATTTCTTCTTATCATTTTTTGGAATCTCGTAACTCGTTGTGGCTATGGCAAACAGGTACAAACAGAAAATTCATTCAGTATCAGTATTTGAGATGGAAAGAACGAATTTCCTGATGGCATGCCTATGGTTGAAAGGTGACGTGGCAATCTAAAAATTAACAGGTGGATGCAATTTTTCAGATGTAGAATGATTATCAGAAGGTGAATGATTTCCGTTAATGTGAAAAGTTTAAAGAGTGCTCAGGAAAGAGTGCTTTCAAACCACCACTTTTTTGACGTGTTCCTGTAGTCTCGAGAAATGTATCTCATTCTTCAAATTCCTTCATCTTTCCATTTTCACTTCCAAATTTTAATGAATCCTTATAACCCCGTGGGATGCGTTGACTTGTAAAGTGTTTTGATCGCTTTCAGGTTGAAACCGTAGTTGTTTTCAACCGGTTTTTTCTTCAGTTCCCTCTGATCAGAAAGCAGTAATAGGGCAAGCGATGTCAACGACAATCAGTTGCCACTGGCGCCACTCTCCTCTCCATCTCCGTCTCTCCTTCTTAGGTAATCCTGAACAACATATGAAACCAGCAAGTGAAAGTGTAAACTGGGGGGAAACGGAGAAAGAGAATGCGGCCCCGAGTGCGCAGCGAGAACAGAGATGCGTGCAGAAAAAGGAACTTGGAAGCGACGACGCCGTTGGCAGTTGATGATGATCGGTGATAGTTGTGGACGGTCGCGCAGTCATCATCGACTTTTCACGTCGTACCTTGAAGAACTTGAAGAACGGAGATAACAATAGCAAAACCAACGGGGGATTGTTTCATCACATTTCCAGACACTGTCCCACACTTGATCACGATTCCGCTTCTTATCACCGGTGGGGGTCTTGAGGAATGACGAAGTCCAAACAAAGCAGTTGGTATAAGTGTCACGCCGAGCTAAATAGTTGTCATTTAGGTCAATGTTTATCCAAGGGAAAGGTTTTTCTTGAGAGAGCTGCCTGTAGCGAGACGAAAAGCGAAATGTAAAGAGAAGTAGGTAAGAGCGGCTCGACAATGTCCACTACATGTCAAAAAGCGAAGAACTCTTTGCGCGATTCGTCAAACTTTGAACTGAGGAAGTTGAGATATTCGGATAATGACATGGTTTTGTGCTATTAAGAGTCAACGTGGATTTGATGCTGATCATAGGACATACGAAGGGAGGACATTCCAGGATTTTTAAATGATTGCATTACATCACTAAAAATGTAGTGATTTCATGTGATTTCCTTTTCATAGTGTTTCTGGCAGTTTGGTTCGAGACTTTGTAAAAAACAAAAGGTCCCGATTTGCAACCATCCATTCATACCACCCATATTTGTCTTTTGTGAGGTCAGATTAACAAACTCCTCTTCCCAAAAGTGACCACAAAGTGTTAACAATTCGACATTCTTTCTGTCTCCCACCGTTCCTCTACACACCGTACGGTACCGTGTACCCGCGAGCAATTTTTTTGAGCTCAAGCACCCGCCCCGCCGCCGCGTCCATCAGCTCCTCCCCATCGGCGGTACGGCTCGACCACCCTGTTGACATTTCCGGCCGTCGGTCACTCATTTCACGAAGTTGACCTCCACTCGGATCACCTCGCACTTTTGGGAGCTTCTTCCTATATCTTCTCATCAGTCTCACTACTCATTTCATTCTTTCAGCGACACTATGAGACTGCTGCTCCTCATAGCGGCTATACTGCCATGCGTTCTAACACAGGTTCGAGCTCTCGAGGTGTTCATTCAAAACTTAATACGTTTCAGTATTACATGCAACAACAGATGCGCCCTGTTGTTCAACCTCAGCAACAGAGGACAATGTACTACCCAGTTAGGACTAACTGCCAGAACAGATGTAACCAGCAGACTAGATACAGATGGAACATCAGACCAACAAGTATGTAGCTGCTTCTTTGAAAATTTCAACTCGAAGTGTTTCAGATGTTCGACCAAACGTCCAAGTGCAAATTCGAACGCTCCCGTCGGCTCCTCAGCCTGCCAGGCCAGTGGTCAACCCGATCCCTGTCGCACTTCCAGCTCCTGCACCCAGCACCCTCCCACCAATCACTTATCCAAGAACAACTGTGACTGTCGAGACACCAGCCCCATCCACCACCACTCAAACTACTACTGAAACCACAACGACCCAGGTTAGGAGTAATTTTTTTGCATCTTTCAAATTGTAATATTTTTAGCCAACGACCACCACCACTCTGGAAACTCCGGCTCCCGAGTCGACCCCATCCATGGCTCCGTCGCACACTGATCCGACTCCAGCTCCGGAGACCACTGCTGCTCCGACAACAAAATACTTGCGTCCGGAGCGCAAACAAACATCGAAAGCAAGTAAGTTTTTGCAACCAACCCACCCCAGGTTTTCTTGTATTGTTTGCCTGCGTGATTGAACAGTTTAGCCACTTTGACCCGAGGCGTTGGCGTCCACCGGCGTCAATTCGAACGCGTTTAAAAGCAAGCACTCAAGATGATTATATGTCAATAAATAAACAAATAGATACAGTTTCGAATAGAATAGCGACCCTTAGAATGGAATGCATCACACCTCACCCGTTTGCCCCCGTTTGCAGAATACTTCAACCCATGCGCTGTCGGTCAGCCGCTTCTCAACGAGTTCTCTACGCCCATCTCATGCAACTATTTGAACCAACCAAACGGAGGATGCCCCGAAGATCACTACTGTCACACTGGAGCCTCATTCTCCACAACCGCCTGTTGTCCATTGGTGACGGCCGAGGACAGATGTCTGCAGAGAAGGGAGACTGGAGAAGGAGATGAACTTGTGGCGAGATGGTATTATGACAACCAGGCCAAGGAATGCAGACGTTTCTTGTACAAGGGAATCCGCGGAAATGCTAACAACTTCGTCACAAAAGCTCAATGTGTGGATGCATGTGAAACAGGTTTAGATAGATTACTAAACTGTGTCTTTACTTTCTCCGTTAATCTGTTATATTCAGAAGTAGTGATTGACGAAACGAACCCGTGCAAGTTCAGTAATGCCGCCAAGTACAAGAACGGAACGCGCATCATTTGCGGACCGAACGATGATTCGATGTGTCCGAACGGATTTTACTGTCATATCGGAGAGAACCCGGAACTTACCGCTTGTTGCGAGACTAGTGGACGTCAGTTCTTTTTTCCATCTAGCCGCCGCTTTATTTGTCCACTTCATCCTTACCTAACTCTGTTGTTTATTTTCATTTTACAGTGACCGATCCGTGCTTGCTCTCGATCAACGTGGGACAAGGAAAAGCGCTCCTCAAGAGATTCTACTACAATACCTTCTCAAAACGATGCACCGAGTTCGTGTACAAAGGAACCAAAGGAAATGAGAACAACTTCTTGTCAAACTCCCAGTGTCAAGAGAAATGTCAAAGTATGAACCCTGAGGCTGCGAATAATTCTAGAAACAAAATATTTGCCTTGCAGAGTGGGATAATCCGTGTCCAGTTCCAGTCAATTACGCTCAGAAAAAAGAATGCGGAATAGAGAACAACAACGGAACAACAGAGTGCAGTGCCGGACAATGGTGTCACATTGGAGCCACCAAGGAAACATCCGTCTGCTGTCCGGGAGCCTCCCCAGATCCATGCTCTCTGCCCATGTTCACCGGAGAAGGAACTGGAAATCTCACGAGATGGTATGCTGACCCCGCTGATAAGTCCTGCAGCAGACAATGCAAGTCGTTCACTTACAATGGATCCAAGGGAAATCAGAACAATTTCCTTACCAAACAGCAATGCGAATCCAAGTGCAAACGAGAGTGCAAGAACCCCTGTGGATCTGGAACTATGCTCATGACCCCGACCAATGAACCGCGCACATGCAGCCCCGGCTCACCATGCCCCAGTTCTCACTGGTGTCACGTCGGAATCACTCCAGACACCACTGTTTGTTGTTCGGCTGTCCAAAACACATGCGAGCTGCCAATGACGAAGGGATACGGAAACTCTCATCTTACTAGATGGCACTTTGATAAGAACCTCAACAAATGTGTCAAATTCATCTATAGTGGAGAGGGTGGAAATCAGAACATGTTCCTGACTCAGGAGGATTGTTTGTCGGTCTGTCCAATCTTTGAAAATCCGTGCGGAAACGGCAAGCCACTTTTGATCGGATCCAAGCCGAAATTGTGTTCGCCCGATGAGAGATGCCCATCCACTCATTTCTGCCACATTGGAGTTGAAGGATCGGACAACTATTGCTGCCCCAAACGTAATTTTCAAGTTGAATAACATAATTGACATAATATTATTGCAGACGGTGACCCATGTCAACAAGGACTTGCTACTGGAACTGGAGGATTCTCCATCACCAGATATTACTACGATAAAGAAACCCGTCGCTGCCGTGATTTCATTTACGAGGGACAAAAAGGAAATGCCAACAACTTCTTGACCCTTGAGGATTGCGGTCTTGTTTGTCCAGGTAAAACTTTACAACTATAATTCACAGTTCAGAAAAGACGTTTTGTTTTTCAGTCCTTCCAAACCCGTGCAATCTTGGGGAGCCGCTTTTGAGTCTGCAGAAAGAGCCAGTGATTTGCGGCGGAGAAGACACCTGTCCGAACGGATACTATTGTCATGTTGGAGGAGCGCCCGAAACCACCAACTGCTGTCCTGGAAGTGAGCGGAAGCGGACAAAGAGCCAGTGATCACATCGAACTCTTTTCTTTTCAGCCCGCCGCCCATGTGACCTTCCGCTGGAAGTCGGACAAGGAGTCGAGAAGCTCGAACGTTGGTTCTTCGATGGAGGAATTCAAATGTGTCGGCCATTTGTTTACAAGGGAATGAAAGGAAACTCGAACAATTTCCTGACCAAACAATCGTGTCGTCAGGCTTGTAAAGAAATGAACCCGTGCGGTTATGGAGACCCACTGGTCGACACGGCCGGAGAACGTATTTTGTGTACTGGTGGACAGAGACTCGATAGCTGCCCGCAAAACAGTTACTGCCACGTTGGATCCAGTGCTCTGACCACTTTGTGCTGCCCGAAGAGAAGTACATCCATTTCTACATTTGCTTTTCAACTTTCCACAACATTTCTTTTCCAGAGATCGACCCATGCGATCAAATCGTGGAGGAGGGAAATGGCGCTGAAGACTTGCCAAGATGGTTCTTCGATAGAAAACAGAACAGATGCGCTCCGTTCACTTATGGAGGAATCGCAGGAAACGAGAACAATTTCATCAGCCAGAACACTTGCATGGAGGCCTGTCCGGAGTACAGGAACTACTGCCCGCACGGAATTCCGTTGATCGAGGGATCAACAGTAACTTCTTGCGGAATTGACAAAGGATGTCCGGAAGGATTCATTTGCCACATGTCTTCGGAATTCAACGTTTCAATCTGTTGTCAGGTGCGTGACAACTCATTCGCTCGAGTTTTATTTGATATTGTTACAGGATCCAATGGACTTCTGTCTTTCCGCTCGTGACTCTGGGCCATGCGATAACTTTGAGAAACGATACGGTTACGACGCGAACACGGACACGTGTGTCGAGTACCAATACGGAGGCTGCGAAGGAACTCTCAACAACTTCCACTCGCTGCAAAGATGTACCGAAATCTGTTGCAAAGAGTACAAGAGAAGACACCGATTGTGAGCATGATGTGTGAAAGTTTGAAAAGTTTTTGCTGTAATCTTTCTTAAAAACGACAATGCCGGTACCCTTCTTTTGCTTTTCCCTATTCTTCCCAACTTTAAATGTAGTTTCCAAAAAAAGCCCCCAAAAAAAGTTGAGTTCTTTTTATTGGATCTCTCTTCCTCTCACTTCCCAATAGTTTCACGTCTTCTTCTGTGGATGATTCTTTTTCCCCCCATTTACCCTCCCCTTCACTACTACTGATTATTTTCCCGTTTCCCGTTTCCTGGGCTCAGTGGCGATTAAAGTATATTTGCTCAGTGTTCGTTTTTGTTCCCCTTTTGACCACTATTGTCTTCTTTTTTGTACTAATTTTTCATATTTATTCAGTGCAGATGAATAAAAATAAACATTTGTTCCCCATAAACCCGAATCACTGGGTCAGCTGTCAAAATCAAGAGGGAAATCGATCTCTCCTCTCGTTTTTCAAGCTTTGTCTCAAAAAATGGAAATTGCGTATCACTTTTCCTTCCATCTTCTCAAGTTACAAGAAGATGTCCTTTCCACAACTGAAAGCATTTCTTGATTTTCGATCTGCGGCTGGTTGCAGAGTAATTGGTCTACGGGGGCATTGCCTTCAATTCTTCATTTTCTTCAGGATCATCAATTAACATTCTCTTTCCTCCCATTTCTCCCCGCGTCTCTGTCTCACCTCACTGCCACTACCGCATCTCCCACAAAAAAACTTTCAATTCGATAATTGCCGAGAAGTTTGGCCAACCAAATGTTTTCCGTAGAATGACTCACACTCATTTCTCCCACTTTCTTTTCTGTCTTCAGTCAGAAAAGCCAGTCTCGCACGTGTGTTCTACATCTGATCGGCATGCCAGCTCGCACAAGACGTCGCGATGTTTATAAATTTTAGAGCATGCACAAAAGGTTAGCAGTGCTATACACTGGCACTTTGGTCATAACAAAAGCACCTAAACAGTATCAGTTTGCAATGACTAATAAACATTTTCACATTTTATTGTACTGCTGCATTCATTTCTCATTATTTTTTCCTTCCAAACGTGCTATCAAAAAGTTTGAATATAACATATAATAACTGTTAGGCGAGAATAAACTGCGCCCAGCTGATAGCTATCGGCAAGAAAAGAGTGTATTTTGATGAGAATCCGAGACACAATGATCGAGCGAGGGAGATCTTCCCTGCCCTGCGGAAGAAACCGAATCGAGGCGAACAGAATGTCTCAGGATAACATCTTTTTTTGGCACCACATTCTCTGTTTGTCGCATCTTCGCAATTCGAACAACACACGATATTGTTCTGGTCGTTTCGACGGGTCTGATCGCCTATCCAGATGTTATCAAACCCTCCGTTACATCATTATATTTCGCTCTGTCTGCGTTTTCTCCCGGTTGTAGGTTGGAGTGTTTGTGAACTTTACATTTTTCTTCTCTGAGCCGCCTTCAGACCTCATAAACATTTATGAGCGTTCTTCTGTGAAACTCCTGAAAGCCTTCAAAAACAGCTAAAATGGCAAGTCGTTTGTTCCGCACATTCCCCAACTTCCCTATTGTCCGCCTACAAAAGGAGGCAATGTCCGAAATGATACCCTCTCATACTCATACTCCTTACTACCGTCCAATCGGTCTTCATTTTTCCATTGCGTCCTCCGTCCACAATTATTTGCTTTTCCACCTCCGGCACCCTTTTTGACTCACCGCTTTCTTAGCGCCGATTGCTGTTCCTCTTTTGATTTCTTCCCGCTCATTTCGAAATTTGGCACAGATTCAGAAAGCGTCATTACAAAGATCTCGAAAAGTGAGCGGAGAATGGAAAAATGAGGTTATCGGCTTTTATTTTATTCACAACGTTTGTGTGTGAAATTTTCACAAGGTAAAAAGTTGAGAATCATGCAATTGAATGTCAATAAAACATTTTTTCAGCCCTGTCATTGTCTTGCCACCGTTTCTGAAGCTTCACGAACAAAATGTTATCACAATAGTCAATGTGAGTTATCAATTTTTGATTGAGATGCTTTTTTCTTCATTTTCAGGATAAACCAGTCAAATCAGTCGTTCAAATTGATCATGGCGGTGAGAAAACAAATAAAGAAATTCAAGGTAATTACTCAAATTGACATTTTAGTTTATAGTTTCCTATGATGTTCAGGTGAAGTACAAGTAATCTCTTTCCATACGAGTTCTAGTCATCCGAGTGCCCATATTTATATAAAGGTACGTTTTTTTCTACAAAAGAGCATAATGAAAACAGATTTCAGGTGGATGGTAAAGTGGAATTAGATGAAACCGTTCCAGTTCGACCAGATGTGTTTAATGTTCACATTCACATTGATAAAACGGTTTATCGCAAATCAGAAACTGGTACGTCAACGCTAGCATCAAATTTTCATTCAATCCACAGCCCTTTTTAGTCAATGTTCGCATTCTTCCACTCACTCACTCTGGGAACATTTACCGCGGCGATCTCAGCATTTGCTTAATAGTAAGCACTCCCTACGTATTGCTTGTTTACCAATTTCGTTTAGAATGGAAAAGGATTCGTGGAATCGTCAACTATGCGCATCAGAAAAGTCGACGAAACCAACTCGATTATCTCGGAACAGCTCGAAATCCCTTCGCACACATTTTTCGGTGATTGGACTGTTAAAGTTCAACCAGTGGAAGCAAGCGGAAAACTGATGGATGACAAGCTGATATTTGAAAAGACCTTCCAGGTTCAAGATTACGGTATGTGTTGGAAATTTTTTATATAGTAGCATATTTATCATTCAGATCTTCCTAATTATAGACTTTCTGGGTTCTTAGTCGACAGTAGCGTACTGGAGAACACAAAAATCACAGTTGAGGCAAAGTAAGTACCACTAGTCGCGTCTTCTTCCACTATGATAAGTTCAGATACTTCCACGGTAAACCCGTGAATGGTTCTGTCCATGTGTATTGTCGAGAAGTTGGATCCACGTCTCAGGACCGCAGTCATCTGACTCATATCAAGTCTGGCGAAGTAAGTTCATGCTTTTCATTCATTCGACGTAGGCGTCAAACATTAGCACAACATCACAAATTCAAAAATACTCATTCATAATTTATTCTTTTCTTCTTGTTCTCTGTTTTTCGTCCACTTCTAAACTCGGTGCACGGTGTTTGCACCGCTTTTCGAGTAGAGAATTGGGTTGAGAAATGCGCCGAGGAGAATGAGCAACTCCAAAAGGTTTCCGCCGTTGAGAGAGATCGTTTCGTAGAATGGCTCATTCACAAATCTGAATATCCCTTGTTATTTTTCCCATTGGAATGTATGTCTAAAAAACTCGCCTTGATAAGCTGATAATATTGTACGGAAGCCATAGAACAATATGAGTAACGATGATGGCACACGCATTCCGGAAGACGGTCGTTCCGAGTTGTCGGCGAAGGGCTGTCGTGGGTGGGTGTCTTGTGGTGCCAGCAAGTGGAACTGAAAAAATATACCGGACTGTTTACTTTTTCGCACTTCCTTAGGATTGAATTTCATACCTCTTGCCGATTGTTGAGACGCATAACTTTTCCGTCGGAAGATGATGACACAAAAGAACTCGTGTAATCTCTCGCTGATTTTGCTCCAGAAGATTGTGCACAAACTGAAATAAACGAATGTGCGTGGAGGGACTGAAACACAGACAATTGTTCTCACGTTTGTTGTCGTCTATCCTCATAAGAGTTGAGCACGCTGAACGGCCAGAATGGAATCAGCCGGCTCATCATTCGAACGTACGACGCGAAAGTTATAGAAAGAGGGAGCCAGAATGCCATTGATTGGTGGTATCCTTCGTAAATCATCGACCAGAAATTCACATTGTCCCTTTTCGGAGAGTCCGCAGGAAGTTCGAACAGTTTGATTGCGAACGTGGTGACACATTGTTCCCAGTCCAATGAATTTGGGCGGTACGTTTCCCAGACAATAAGCTGCGGAAGCGCGGCGATTAAAGCGATAATCCATGCAGCAAATAACAAACGAAGGGTTCGCTGATGTTGACGAACACCTGACAGTTGAAAAATAACGGATAGCTTTGGGGGAAGTGTTACCTATTATATGATTGCTATACACTGATAAATATCTGTCCAAAGCGATTCCGCAGACAATGTTAGAATTTGAAAAGAAAGCGACAGACGATCCGTATCTGTATAGTTTGCAAGCAATCCACCCAAACTTCCACTCGAACTGAAGGAGCCATAGAGCCTGAATTAATGAGTTGCCCTTTTTTCTGAATGTCTGAACAGCTCACTTTCACCGCCGCGTAGAGGAACATTATCATCATGTCACTTGCAAGAAGGCTCAATTTGAAAAGTCTGAACGAGTTCTGACTCCCCACCACCCCATTGTGTTGCTTCGGTGTTTTGACTCTGAAATCATGTCTAGACTTTTAAAGGCAACTAGCATTTACAAATCGACATGCCCGTTTCTTTTTGCAAAACAGCCCGTTTTGCAAAAAGAGACAGCGAGGTCTAATTTCCACAAAAAAGCTCCATATCTTTGCGGATCTCTTCTAAGTACTCACTTGCTTTTCCTCTTTTTCACTTTTTTTATGATGTTGACAATGCCGACCACTATATAAGCCACATCGAATAAGAAAAGCAAAGCGGCCTCGGTAACTTCTGACCATGATCGTTCCGGGACCACTGGCGACTCCTCCTCCATCATTCTGAAAAAATAACTTGAAGCAACACAAATATTGGAAGAAAAAGAAAAAGGAAGCTCGTAATTATGTGGGTGAGAAGCGAAGAGGGTTTATATGTATTTTTAGAATCCCGAACAGAACGCGAGATTCTTTTCTTGTCCCCGAACTGAATGTGAGATGTTCTTCTTTCCGCCCACTTCTTTCACTTGAATTCAGCTACAATTTCCCATCTCCTTACTCGTTTTTCCCTAGGTCAACACCCTCCTTCTCTCCAGAAAGAAGAAAAGTAAAGACTAGGGGCGAAACTTGTTTGCTGGGTAGTCTAGAAGACGAGCGAACAGAAGGAGAAAAATTAGAAATTGACACTTCCATATTGAATGGAACACAAGGATAAGGCGCGAGGAAGTGGTGTTAGGCCACCGGGTACCTCGAAAAGATGAGACAACAACAAGAGAGGAATGTTGGAATCCTTCAAACGAGCAAACACATCAGATGCAGCGGGAAAAAAACATGCCGAAATGTGTGACGCCTCCTCCGAAAAAACGCCTAATGGGAAGGTGTTCGCTACTTCTGTTTGTGCACTTTTCAAGTTGGAAAATGAGAAGGGGAAAGGGAGAGAAGGAGTTGAGTGTTGAAGGCAGCGCGCACAACATCTCGTAAGCTTACTTTCTAATTGGCTGAAAATGTGATTGCAATAACAAAATATCATCATTAACGCGTTGAACTTTGAGAAAAAAATGGCAGAATGAGAAGTTCGAGAAGTCAAATGAGTGAGTGAGTCGAATTTTGAAATAATTCACTTTTCTATCCATTTTCTATTCATATAAGATGACTATAATCGAATCAAATTATATTTTTACGAACTGGTTTCTGAGAGCCATAAAGCTGGAACTATTAGTCGAATCGTTTTGACAAGTTATGAATGAGATGATAATTGGCTCGTCGAAAAAAAAAGAAATATGATATGATTCACCGTCGATAACTGTCGTTTCACTGAAAAGCATGAGATATCATATCACAAAGCAAAAGTGCTCGCATGTGATCTACAGAATAGTGAGAAATTCTTCTCGTTTTTAACGTGTAAGCCGTCCGTTCATACCTCCTAAAGAGAAAATCCAGGAAAAGACCGGCCCTCGTATGACTAAGTAAGATAACGGAAATTCAAATTTTGCAAATGCATGTGCGGCGGCGGCAAACGAAATAAACATGCGGTTCATCATAACCGAGAGACCTTCAGAGGAAGAACAGAGTTTGGCGAAAAGGGGAAGGGGGAGCACGAGTTCAGTTTGCGTCGAAGGTGAACTTTCATTCTGGGCTCCGCACTCTCTCCGACACACATGTTTTGTAATATCATTTCGTCACTTCAGGCAACCATGTCAATAAAAACGGAAAAGCACATGAACACAAAGGTTAAAATAGAAAACAACGAAATGGAATATGTAGTGGTGCCAGCAAATTTTAAGAGCACGACGTGGTGTCCTTCTAATTAAATCTTGAATTCTATACACCCACAGCCCACAAACAGAGACATAATAGAAAGAGGAAGGCGGTGTACATGTACATGAATACAAACATCCAGAAAAAGAATACGAATCACGTGTATACGCCGGATTACTCCAGCTTTTTCCGTTTCCTTATTCTAAGGTCACAAGGAAATGAACTGATTTCCTGTGCGCCTCGGGACCATAAAATACTCGGCGCAAAAACAGATTGATGATCTCCGGAAGCAGCGGTTTCGTCATAGTCAATGACCCAGCGACTAGGTCTGGCTCCGATTTAGCATAAGACGGATGAAAGGGTGAACAGCTTCGGGGATAATCCGTTAGATGAAACAAGGAGATTGGAGGCATTCTGGCAAAAAGAGCCACTAACGGAGTAAACAGAATAATTGACTTCTTGTTGGGACTTGGTTTGAAACTAGAACAACTTTTTGCTTTCTCTTTCCCTTTCACATTTGATAACACGTCGCTTCTTTCCGTCTGGTCAACTCCGATAAGATTTTTGTTGGTTTAAAATTGGTCATGTACATGTTTGAGAACCTTTTCTGAACTTATGTAAGAACCGAAATTCGTACCCTCCCAGTGATCACACCACGATTGTCGAGGCTCGTTTTTCGCCCTTCTTTAGAATTTTTGAGCAAAAACAAAAAAAAAGACAACGGGACCATAATTGAAGAGCCATTTGTGCCATTTTTAACTACATGTTGATGACTGTGTTTCGATGGAAAATGAGCAAGAGCACAATTGGCACCAGACTAGGTGGGAAAGTCTCAAAACACAATCTTGGAGGTTTGTTCCCTCTACTCAATTTTTGGAATGAGAGCAAAAGTGAGAATGAGGGAAACTAATACAAGATTCGGAATTTCGAATAAATTAGTCGTGGGAAAGACCCACATTGAATGGCACAATGGAATGACTCGCTCACTTGAACAGAGAGAGCTAAAAACAACGGAACCATGACCAGGAGCAAAGTGCTCTCTTTTCACCGCTAATGGTGAACAATAACAAAAACTGAAGGGTACGGCGCACAACAGGAAGACACATTGAAAGACGAAATGTTAGGGGCAACGAGAACGCTGCCCCCGGTTTTTGAGTGAAGTGCATCAGTCGACTCGACAAGAGGGAAAGCAGCCCCCACCTAAAAGTGGGCGGAGTTTTTGACGAACAAACGTTGGCCTGTCCTACCCGCCTAATCGTGCTAATTAACTTGTGTCCGTCATGAAAATGATCGGCCGTTGAGGATGTTTGCTGCTCCAAACGAGTAGGAAGAGGGGCGCAAGCGAAGAGCGATAAAAAAAGAACAACTCGAAGCATCTGAACTCTCTCGCTCGCTCCTACTCGGCACGTAGGCGGTTTTAATAAGTTGAAGGTTATCCAAACTCGTCTGAGAAAAGAGATGGGGGCTTTGTCTGACTAGAGGATGAGTCCTCCACGAACGGCCGCATTCGAATAACACTTCCGGGAGAAAAGCGAACGGCGAAAGGCAGGGGTGTTTTTCAATAAGGAGTTTCTCCTTTTGACGTGCCGAAATGAATAATTAAGCGAAAGAGGCGAAATCAGTTTTTGAACGGATCAAACATCCGCCAAAAAGGCAACATTGTTTTGGTTTGCATGAGCTCATCCGCTCCCCGCCTAATCGCTCAGGTCGGAATGACGTGAGAACGAGTGAGTACGTATTTGGTCACGTTTCAGCGAAGCATAACGGTTTATCATCGGGCAGAAGCAGGCAATTTGTTTTTTTTTTGGGAAAAAATATCGTTGAATAGTGAATACAATGGTAGTGAAAGAGTGAATTCTTAGTTTCCGGAAGAAAATCCGTAGAGGAATGGGTTAATGAGAGTGATCAGGATTTGCAAATCTTTGAAGATGTTGGCGTTGGCGCTGAGCACTCTGAAATCCGAAACGTTCATACATTTTCACTTTCTTATGGCCGCTCGGCTCCCATCACTAATGTGGAGCCAAACCAAAGTTCACTTCTCCCGCAATCCCGTGGGTCGGAGCCTTTTCCAACGTTTTACGACAGGTCGTAAACCTGTCAGAACGTTTGGTGACATCCCGAAACCCGTACATTATCCCGACTGAGCAACAATTTGTCATTCCCCCAAATGACCCCTCTTTAGTGAAACCTGCACGCTTCTCAGCTTCAAAGTTGGAAAGCGATTTCAAGTTTTCCGTCCGACTTACTCGAACATCGATTGATTGATATACTTCATGAGGCCGAGGGCATTGTACGGGAACCAGAAGAGAAAATGTGTGAGAATGACGAGCATCGTGGTCCGGAACACACGACTGCGCATTTGCTTCCGCCACGTGGGCATACGTGTTGATGAAGACACCATAGTGGTTGTGGACTCTTCTGCAACACGGAACTTGTTCTTTTACTTACAACTCTTTTGTAGAAAAAAATGAAAGCGTTACTAACTTGCTCCATTTCTGCGGGTTGACTTATTGCGTGTCTGTTTGATAGTTCCATCTTCAGGACAACACTTGATCACCTGAAAATATTTTTCGTAGCATGTGTCATGTATACCGTAGCCCAGTTGTTTTCGGTTTGACACATTTCTCTCTAAGGCAGATGCAAAACATAATCAGGCAAGTCGGACTTTAGTGGCAACATGTTTTGAAGAGTCTGTGGCCTTGAACCTACCTTCTTCATGCTTCCTTTTTTTTTGAGAAGTCCATCTTCAGGATTAACATGAATTATGACTTCTGGAAATATCAGTCTATTTAAGTTCGGGGAATCCTGAAAGTACCTTTCGGGGAGTCGTCTCCCGCTGTTGGCATTGGTCGCCGTATGCTTTGACTGCCAGGTGGTTTCAGAGAATACTTCATGAGCTTGGTGGCTATAACCGCATAAGTGACAATAAGAACAATCAGCGGTCCCCAGAAAACAAGAATCTGAAAAAAAGGGTCACTTATAAAGTACAAGAGGTCGTTCCTAACCAAGTGCGCAATGTTATAAGTGTTTTCGAAAGTTTGTGTCAGAAAAAATGAATCTTTGTCGAAGAACGCCAAATTGGAATCTTGGAAGAAATGACGGCGGATCTGCCAGACATCCGAGCACTGAACAAAGTTGGGCGCAACTTCGACGATTTGAAAAAAGAAAAACTGAGGCAGACTACAGAGGAGGGCAGCCATCCACGAACTGTACGCCAGAATTGTGACAGTGCTGATCTGAAAAGTGTGATTGTTGGTTTTTGATTTTAATGATTCCCTTGAACAGCTGATTAGAGATTCAGCGGAAAAGTCATGTTTTGACTCTATTTCAAAAGACCTACAGTATTCCTAGAACCCTTCCAGCTTACTTAAAATGCACATAATATGAATAGGTTTCTTAGCTTACGTGAATACCTACTACCTGAAATAGCACGGACTGCGTGACCAGTTCCATTGTTTTTCGGAGAATCCTTGCTCACCTTACTGGTCTTTGTGTGAATTTGATTGGCATACATCACATTTCTAAGACGATCAAGAGCGATGCACATGACAATGTTTGAGGAACTGTACAAGGAGAACATGGAAAACATCTGGAGAGAAAGAACGTTTTGAGGTTCAGAACTCATAGGTTACCTGATAGAGACGGCAGGCAATGTCACCACCAATCCATCTGTAGGTTATTAGCCAAATGAGCTTTCCGAGGGAATAGGTCAGGATGAAAAGATCAGTTATGTTCAAGTTGATCTTAAGCATAACGAAACCGCTCTGAAGAACATAGATCATGAAAATAGGATTTTTAAACTTTGCACTCACCTTGACCATATCTCGGTTAGACATTTTCATCTCTTTCACCAACTTCTGTAGGATCACGACGTTGGCCGGCACTCCGAACAGAAGGACCAAGCCCAAGTAGGCGATTTCGATGTAATCACTGATTAGATAAGTGGGAGCCACTGGATTCGGGACTGTTGAGTTGTCGAACTCCATTTTTCTCTGCCAAACACAGTGTATTTTCAACGGAACGAACGGAACGAACGTGTGAAGGAGCTAATGAAGTTGGGCAAAAACGAAGAACGGAGGAGAAATGAGAGCAAAAAACAAGTTTAATTAAAATCCGAGACAGAATACCGAATTCCGATTATTGTTGGCCGGCCGAGACTGCCAGGAGAAAAACGAAGAAAAACAAAGAACAGGTGGAAAGATTTGTTGAACAAATCACGAAGAATATCGATTTCTCATGTTCTGTTCTCATCCGAATATTACGTCGACGACCAGCCGGAAATTCGTACGGCTCTCCCGAACTTGAACATATTTATGCTGCTCTTCTCTCCGAGAAATGAGTACACAGAATATGTATTCGGGCAAAGTGCGTTCAAGAAATAACTGAGCCATTTGCACGAGACTCCTTGCCTAAAAAGGCGTCTTAATGAGAATCTATATGATGTTGATTGCCGCGAAAGCAAATACAGAAGACAAATGCTTTAAAAATATTTGTGTGAAGAATGATTTCGGGTTGGGACCAATGGTGGCGTAAATATGCTTTCTATAATGTGTCAAAATATGGGGAGAAAACATGCAATCGTGTGGGTTGCTCGCCGCTTCCAATGGACCCAACCAGAGAGGCTCATTCTCTGTTTTTCGGTCCATCTACTTGAGGAGGAGCGGTTGTGAATCGTGAGAACACACCCGCGATCTCTAGTCGGAGCAGCATTTTCAATAAGGTTCGGCCCATTCAGAGTGTGAAAAGAGTGTGTGAGGCACTGACAACGAAACACAAACTGTCTTTCTATTCTCGGAAGTCTCAAGAGTGGGCGAAAACGCGCAATAAAGATAAAGTGAATATTCAATTGAACTTCTGGGAGCAAACGGAACAGAAAAGCGCACGAACAACAAGCGAATGCGGGACCTGGCTAATTGAATAAAAGCGAAATCCGGAAAACGGCTGTTTGTCGACTATTTCTATGGAATTGCCAACATAAACCAAAAACTGAGCTTTTAATGAAGGTGTACCTTATTACAACCTCATTTTATAGTAGTGACTATAAATTTCGGAGACTGGAAGCAGCTTTAATTAAAATGGTCTGTGTGATGAGTGAGAATGTGAAAAAAAGCGGACAATGAAAAATACACGAATCTGCTAGCCGAGCTGTGTACTTTACCCCATCAAATTAAAGTGAGAAATCGGATTTAAAAGAACAGACGCTTGCTTTTTCATTTTCTATTTTCCGATTCTATCAAATGGCTTCCAACCCTCAACTGAATCTAGGAAAATAGGAAAATGAGACAGCGGAGGACCGAATCACGCACCTGAATAAAGAATATTTCAGACAGGTAATGCGAAGATGCGACAAAAACAAGGACTAGGAAGTGGGTGAAAGAAAATGACGATGATTCTCCTGACTTTTTATTCACTTTTTCTTCTATTTTCGCCAGTGATCAAAAAAAAACTTGGCAAAATTCCATCATAAACAAGCCTAATTTATGCGGTAGAATGCGTGATCATATTCCTAAAATGTACTACTGAAAAGTTTTGAATTTTGAGTGTCGAGGTCATCATCGAACCTCCATTTTGAGTGTTATTAAAGATTCATAGTCGTCATCGCGTGTGAGAATAGAAAAAGAATGAATAACTGCTTTCTTCAAAACAATAATGGTCATAATGATTATGAGCCCGAGCCCGAACTGGTGGTGGGGGTGCTCGACTAAAGTGTAATTGTCTAGCCGGAGAGGGAAAAATACTGTAGAAGCGTGAATTTATTCGAAGAGTTCATTAAAATGTGAACTGAGGGAAAACAACAACAAAACAAAGTCAGTTTTCGTTCCCGAATGGAATTCCGATCATATTCTTCCTTCAACAAAAGAGAATTAATAGAAAAAAAGATGAAATTTATTTATGCTTCTCAAAAAAATAGATTTCCCGGTCCAATCCATTCTCATTCAAATAACAATTTGTATAAGGTTTCACTTGGAACCAACTTTCCTATGAGGACCGGAGGAAGAGAGTGACATCTATGAGAGAAAAAATGGAGGGGGGGGGGGCGCATATACATGAGTCATTATTTCTTAATGAGCCCAAAAAGACCGCGAACACGCATCGATATGATGTTATTCTCCCTTTTTTCAGTTCGACAATGGTATTTGGTCAGCCAACGTGGACCTCGGCAAGTGTGATCCGTTTAATTCGCTTCCAAAAGAGGTACGCCACAGACAGAAAAGGACACAAAGAAAGAATGCGGATTTTCAGAGGTTTCTAGGTTCTAGGGCCATTACGTGATTGTTAGAGAGGGTAATGAATTCATAGAATTTTAAAAGACAACTTCCTGGATTTACTGCATGAAAACATTGCAAGCAGATGTAGAATAAAATACGAATCAATTTGTGCAGAATAAAAGGGAAGAGGACGAGGTTAATTAGAAGCGGAAGTTGTTTATGAAGCTAAGAACCAAAAAATAAGAAGATAGCAAGCATGCAATTGTATTACTTATATAAAAAGAGAATTAGGTTTTCTGCCTCGTAGTATGAACGCATGCGAATGATCAGTTGTAGCGCTTCTATTATCCCGTTTTCTTTTTAATATGTCCTTCTAATCCCACAATCGCACCCGGAAAAATAAGAAAGAGTTGGAGATAAAGATTAAAAAGTACAACTATCAGAGACGCTTTTCCCGGAATCGTTCATATTCAGATTTTCATCGAAGCTCGCGAAAACGGCACTGGGTACCGACAGGATCTTGTTCTGAACTGGGACGTGACAGCTCCCAAGTTCACAATCACCGCAATTCGTCCATATTTTACTAAGGACAGTGAACATGTGATTCTTCTTGTAAGTCGCATTCCCGGAAAACATATTTATTCTACATGCATTTCTTTTGGAGCGTCTACACTCTGAAAAGCTGGCACGAGGGGGTGTTGTTGCTTTTGAAATGACGTTCAATTCTTATATAGTCTGACTAGGGGCATGGCCCTACCGTAGTTCTTTTAGCTTGATCTCGCGTTCTAGTCATTCAGATACATGCGTACCCAGACACCAGTCGGTGTTTGATCGCTCATCTGCCTATAGGCATGCTTTTTCATTGTGCGCGGAGTCAGGAAGTGAAAATCTAAAGTAATTTGGCTGCCATTTCGATCCAGACCACCAAAGGCGTTTAGGTTCACGTGCTGGAGCGGTGGTGTCGAAACAAAACACGGTCTCGACCGCGCACGTCATCTGCGAAAAAAAAATGTCAATTCAATTTGCGTGCCAGCGCACTAGTGGTATGGGCATTGTATTGTGACGGAACATAAAGAAGAGCTCAGAAATGGAAGGGGGTCCGAAAGAAATGAGTTTAAAATGTTTCCAGGTTGACGGAGATGGTATTTCTCAAGGAAACGTCAGCATTCTGCTCAGATGTATTTCCGAAAAGACTGCCGAAATGCAAACGAAAGAAGTGAAAGTTAACTCAAAAATCGGAGAAGCGCTCAAAATTGGAATTCCGGAGGAGTGGCGAGCGGGCGTGAGCGTCATTCGAGTCATTGTGAGCCGACAACAAATTAGTCTGGAATCGAGTTGAATTTTGAATGAATTCCAGGCAAAGCGACTCATTGAAAACGGATACAGTAACGAGACGATGCTCTACATCCCAAACCTCAGCAACACTTCTCTCAGCTCCTCGTTGATCAACCCGGAAGAGACGAAACCGTACTACAGAGACGGTGAAATTATGAATGTTCTGGTCAAAAACACAGATATGGAATTGAACTTTGTGGTGAGTCAGTTATGAAACCAACGTCTTTGCAGTTGCGTAAAGCTATTTAAAAGGATTTCCAGAAATCCTTATAATCAGAAAAAGGTTAGAGAGCGTTGAGCGAAATGAATAACAAGGAAATAATGGGGATTCATCTATAATTGAAAATCCAAATTTCAAAGATTTTGGGTGGTCTTCTGCTAACCAGGAAGCCATAAAAGGCTCTGCTTCCTACTAGGTTTCTGCTTTTAGTTTGAAGATAATTGAGTCTGGGCCCGTTTTTCCAAGAAAATTGCTTTTAGGAGGTACCAGTCCAAATTTTTGAGATCTTTTTGCAGACCTGGAAAGCTCCAAGAAGTGAACAAGCTTTTGTTGTTTTTTTGGGCCAGAACCACAAGAAAAGGGTAAAGGAATTGAATTAAGAGCACTTTCGAGGAACCTAATCGACCCCAATGTTATCTGTTTTTCAGGATCGGCAAGAAAATTAAATTTTTTATAGGGCCTAAGAAAACGGACAAAATTAATAGTTAGAATGAAGACCATGGATTATGATAGGGAGCATCGAAAAAAAGCGGAACTGGAAGAAAATGGGGGATTTTGGTGTTACTTATGTAGGCGGTGAAAATAAATGTGGACAGCAATGGAGAGATCTTCGTCTTATGAAGAAAAAAGGCTTAGAGGATATTTCCTTGAAATCTTGAAATCGAGAGGCTAATTGAAATGCTACCTTGTCTGGAAAATTTGTAAGCGATTTCAATCCGGATCATCCCCCACATCACCGGCCGGTGCATCATGCTCTCAAAATGATGATACGGGCTGCATAGAAATGTTATATAGAAACATATTCACTTTGAGAACGTTCCTATCCCATCTATTTATAGTTGTTTCATCCGGAAGTGAGAAGAACTCATAATTTCTGTTATTCGATTAAAGAAACAAAGTTCGGATCTATCCGTTACCCATTAAAAATATACTCTTCCATTCATAACAAGTGATCACATACGGAATGTTCAATTTTGTTGTACTTTCGAGGACCTAATGGCGACTACGGTAACCGCTTACGCATGACGTGAATTTTTATCTGCTTTCAAGGGTAGAATGGTTTAATTCTGGGAAAAAATGAAAAATGTGCCGCTTTTTTGGGAACAGAACAACAAGCACAAGTGCGTTATTATTTTCCAGACGTAGAGTTCAACGCGCAAAACAGAAATGGGAAAACGTTGTTGAAAGAAGATTTTCTGCAACTTTGAGTGGCTGAATAGATTGAAGGAAAAGTGCAGGAGTGGTGATGGACACAACATTGAATAAATAAGAAGTTTTCAGTTCTTAAGATACATCCCTTTCAAAGATTTTCTCCTAATCCTGAGAATAATCTGAAACACGTGTTCTTATCCTGGTTTCAATACCACTAAACGGATTAGCAATGACCGACAATACGCATAAACGAGGACATACGTACACTTTGTTTCTTTTTCACTAATAATTCATACCTTACACACTGAAAAGTTCCGAGAATAATTTTCTCACGCCTTTTTCCACGTAGTCTTCCCTGTCCAAAGCGGTAGTAAAGAAATAGAATACAATAATGGTTGTGAGTAAGCCTATTCTTCTTTTCCCAAAAAATGAATAATATTTTCAAAAAAATTAAATAAACTTGATTAAGACGTGAGAATCAAGAAAACAAGTTGTACAAAAGGCAAGAAAAACACGCTTTAGTGGCAGTAAGTATTGAAAGGGAAATTAAAGAAGAATTTCATGATTTCTTAGTGATCTGTGAAATGAGTAAGGTTTCCCACTAAAAAATCTGTTTTTAAACGTTCCTTGGCTTTAAGACACCACTTCAAAGGAAAGAAAGTGCATTCAATCTAAGAATCGGATTGTTTTTCTTCCAGATTGTTTGCAACTCACACACCATACACCGCGTGCCAACCGACATAAAAAACAACGTGCTTCGCATCAAAATCACCGATAAAATGGAAGGGAATTGTGTGCTCACTGCCTTTTCCTCAGACCCAAGTTCAGACGTGATGCTATTCAGAGTCCAGAATTACTGTGAGGTTTGTCAGGTGTTTTTTTGGCCATTTTTTATGTGTTTTTGTGGTCGACGTGGGTACGCCTGAGTTCTCGGGGAAAGCTGACAAAGGAGAGTGAGCATGAATAAGTCAGATTGGTGGAAAAAGCGGCTGGAAGTCCGCCGAATGAGAAAAGAGAAACGAGGGACGAGAAAAAAGAAAACAAGGGGCTTTCAGGACTGCAAGGTGAAAGTGTCAAAGGTTTCGAATGGAATGAGCAAGGAACTCGGCAGCAACGACGTCATCGAACCTGGAGACGAAGTGGAACTGGAATTTGCAGGACACTCGGAGGCGATTGTTTTTTACAGAGCCATGGACGAACGTCTCAATTATATAACTTTGGTCAGAAACTCAAGATCACACTTTTAATGTTTTTTGTTTTAGAGAAACGATTACATGACTCACGAATACCAAGACTATCTCATATTTGCGAAACAGACATTTGGGGCAAAAGTGGTCAACCTGGTGGATGAGGATGGGGTTGAGAAAGCAATAAGTGAGTAGGATTGCAAAAAAACCTCAGAACGAACGCGAAAACCAATTTCAGAAGAAGTCTGCACGGCGGCAGGCTATCTGCTCCGCTTTAATTGTGAACAAGGACAGCGTTCGACGTCTCTTGTATCCGAAAAGTGCCTCAAACACGTATTGAATCGCTGCTATAAAAACTCAACGGGCAAGTCAAATTTTGAAAGGGCCGACAGCGACATTACTCTTTCACTTTTCAGCTACAGTGTTGCCCATAATGACGCCGTACTTGGAGCGAAAAACGCAAATGAACACGGCGAGCTCGACTAACTGGTTAGAGAACTTCAACCTTTTCCGTCCGAAGATTCCCAAAGCCCCGCTTGCTCTCTTCGTGAAACCGTGTGTTTTCCCGCATGTATATTTAATTCTTAACTTTAGTTCCATTCCGCTCTTTTTCTTTCTGACATAAGTTTAGTTGTATAACACTAGGAAAGAAGCGTTTACCGTTTGTAAAAGTTGTACGTGTTCAGCGAGTTCCACGACCCAGGAGTTGTGAAGCAGAAACCAAAAGTTCGGCAGCATTTCCCGGAAACCTGGCTGTTTGATGCCATTGTCTTGGAGTAATTTAGCAACCATAGTTTCAAGAAAACATAGAGAGTGACTTTTAGAAGAAACGGAACCAAAAAAGTGAGAGCAACCTCACCGGATAATGTCGGACAATGGGCTCTTAATAGCGCTTATTGGTGGCATGGACGGGTCTCACTCTTTCCGGGCCAGACAAGATACATTCAGACAAGCAAACCAATATTCTTAGAGGTAAGAAGTCGTTATATAAATAAATGAATGTCCAATGAAAACCATATAATTCAGGTTGACATGCCCAGAAATGTCTATGTGAACGAGACAATCAGTCCACTTTTAACTGTTACCGGAATTGATCTCAAAAAATCTCGAGAAACATTTGTGATTTGTCTATCAGAGCTGCCCAGAAAAGTTTGTGCGGACCAAGGGGCCAACGGAAATAAAGGAGACAAGTACTACATGAAAGTGGAGATGACGAGAAACTCACCGATTCAAAGCAAATACCTCATGATGAAATTCCTTTCGCCTGGTTTGGTTAACATGACGGTTACCCTTCGAACGTACGTTGATCAGGGCCTTGTTCGTTGTGCCCGTAGCCAAGCGTGAAGCCCGGCGGTAGCCGGGGGTCAGGCTTGTGAATAAGTAAATAAATAAACAAATGTTCAGTGAAAACTGCGAAACGGGCAAGATTTTGGACGCCGTGCGGAAACAAATTGAGATCCAGGTGTCTTCAGTAACAAGATGTAAATAAATAAAACTTGTGAGAGTTACAGAAACGCGCGGACACCGAAGAATACTACGAACGTCATATTCTGAACCCCAGCAAACCATTGGTGACGGCGATGAATGATGATCCGGGGTCAACGAGCAGCAAGGACACGAAGATGATAAGTGAGTCCGAACAGGAAAACAAAATTGGAGATGAGAGGACATATTTGCAGCGTTCTCCGATCAACACTCTTCTTCCGACACTACGGACACCATCAACACTCTGATCACTTCCAACGTTCCGGACACTGAGACAGTTTTCTCTTTTAGTATCACTTTGTCAAGTACAAACAGTCAACAAATTCAGACGATAATTCGAAAAGTTTTCAGAGTTTTTGCCAATAACAGAAAGAGTTGTCACTATGTCAATGGGTACACGTTTCAAGAGAAATGGTCAGAGAATTCTGACTTCAGTAATCAAAGAGCTTTCCGTCGTTCTCTACAAATTCAAAAAGCTGAAACTCTCCGGCTATACTTCTTATCAAATGGAAGCTGAAATTAATGATTGTACAGTTCCTCTATCAAAAAAAACACAAAGTATTTTTTTCAGTGATCAACGAAATGATGCAGTTCTCGAATTGCACTTCCCGGAAAGAACCGTGCGGTTACTATGAGTTTGGAAGACCGCAAGCGTCATCAGATATATCGATTTTGTATGTGTTTCTAACCTGCATGAATGAAATCAATATCTTTCTCACAGATTGACAAGTATCGCTACAAGCCTGTTATGCGAAGCAGACGTCGAAGAGAGCCGAGTACTTGGATCACTAAAAACCATCACCGCCTACATTCCAAAACTAGGAAGAAAAGATTTCAACGAAGACCTCAGTGACATCATAGACGTCGAAAACGCAGAGGATAAAAAATACCTCCTTGTCTCTTTCATGTATCAAGTTTCACGAGACTGCGCTAGTTATAGAGGCGGAGTGAAAGATATGGTGGGTAAAAGTAAACACGTAAAACGAAAATAGGTGTTTTTCAGTCAAAGTCGTTTGGGAAGTTGCATAAATACTTTTATGAGTTGGACGAGTCAAATGTGAAAGATGGAAGAACAGCAAGTGCCATTGCATTCATGGCGACGAATGCCACTGCGGAACTTATGAGAAGTGACCTTCTGTCTAAAATTGATAGTAATCTATCCTTTTGAAAGCTTAAATCCAACAATCTTCAATATTCAGAAGAACATCCTCCGTATTGGAAATGCAATGGAATTGAACTTAATCGAGTTGGAAAGTCGAAACAAGCAAGCGAGTCGTTCAGAAGACGACGAGAGGTGAGAACAACAGCGAAACCGACGCCCGGAACTTGAAAACAAAGCAAAAATAGATTAACTGAAGACGCAAAGTGGGAGGTTCTTTTCCCCTCTCGCCCTTTCCATTAAGTTTCTCCAATAAAAACAATTAGGCACACTAGAGCTTTCTCGGATATGCAAATAATGCGGACCATCTTTGGTCCCTGAAAAACGAATTTATTGCAGAGCTGCCAAGTGATGGTGAATAGCTTTGCTCTTTCTGCTATTGTGACCGCCTACGCCGAAGGCACCGAAGTTGACTGGGACCGCCTCGCCGATTGGATTTCAGAACAACAGAGCAGCGATGGATCCTACGGAAGCCCATTAACCACATTAGTAGCAACTAGGTCTTTGTATGAGAAACGACGTCGCAATGTGGAAATTGAGTACAATGACAACCTTGAAGTAATAACCAAAAAATAAGCATTTGTGAAAGTTTCTAGAATCTGTTTTCAGGTAACAGTTCGATGCAAAGGGTGCACTGAAAAGCATGTGAACGTTACTGAAAGTCCTATCGAAATTCACGTAGGCCTTGTCGATTCTCAGATTCAAATGTTCGGATCCAGTTTCAGATTCCCAACAACATTCACTATGTCACGCTCATAACAAAAGGCCGCGGAAAAGCTGTCGTTGCCGCCCGGATAGTGGCGACTAAGAGGCCAAGACCGAAAAGAGGACTCACACAGGATGATTACTATCCTGTGCACTTGGCCATTGATCAGAAAGTTCAAGATAATTTTGTGCATCAAACGGTGTGCTTCAAGTGAGAATTTAAGAATATTTAAGAACTTTGGGGAGATCTTCAATATTAATGTTTCAGTGTAACTAATCCTACCATCAAAACGCTTGACATCTTTCATGGAACTTACACCCTTTTCTCAGCAACACCAGATCAGCTTTATTTCTTGGTATGCGACAGCATGATATTATTTTGCAAACATATTTCAGAATGATTCGTATACCCCTATCAATCCGACGACGTCAGCTCTCGGTCTTCATTTCATTATCACTGGTATCGCAACAAATCAAACACTTTGCTACAAAGTAGCCCTAAGTGAATCAAAGGGAGGAAACAATATACCTAACAAGTCAGCTCCCGTGCCGATTCGGGCGACACATCCCGTGCAAGGTACACTCACGTCTTTACTGCTTAAAAACGCAAAAAAGTTTTAGGATTAGTGGGAATGCTTCTGATTGCCCATCCTGATGTTCCAAAGTCGGACGCTGTGGTTCGACGGCGACGTCATCATCATCATACTCGCACAAGATTCGTCAGAAGAATCATTGACGAGTCCGCCGTGGATACGGTCTGCTACGACGGAGGTTTGTATGAAGTTCTCTACAATTTTCTGAAGTTTCAACTTTAGGAGAGTGTTCTTGTGCAGAAACAACATGCAGTGTCAAGTGCAAGACGTGTCAATTGGATACTCCCGAACAACTCAGAGAGTTGTTATCAACAGATGGATTCTTCGGTATCACTCATTCCCAGTTTGGTTTCCGTACCTAGTCTACTTCAGGTATTCGGTTCGAATTGAATGCCATCGCAAGTTCTGTAATGAACGGAGCAAACTACACAATCTACGACGGTACTGTAAAGGACAGTAACGGCCTGGGATCAGGCGCATTTGAACTTTCAAGTAAGTTTCAAGTGAAAACAAAAAGACTAGATCCTTGAACATCAGAAAAAGTGAGAGTTTGGCTGCGATCTTGTAACGTCGGTTGTGCACCAGAAGAAAAGATATTGAAGCGAGACTATTACGTATTGGGACATGAGGATGGTCTCAATTCGGATTCTTATGGAAGGTATTTTTAAACTGAATTATTACAAAAATAAGCATACATTTTCAGACAAAACTACATTCTCAATCACATGGATCGATTCGAAGAGAGTTCTTACGCGTGTCAAAACTTGAACTCAGCAATAACAATCAGATACTGAACACCGACACTCTCAACTTCCATGTCACGGGCTCAAATTATTCTGCTTTGCCAACTCGCTTCTCATACTGATGATTTACTGCAAAAAGTTTCATTTTATTTCATTTTATTATCATTTAACGCAATAATAAATATGATACATCATAGATGTTACCAAAGAGAATCAAAAGATTCGAGAAGGAAAGACAACAAAATACGTAGAATGGAAACCTCGTTCGCTTCAGTTTTGCACTGCATAATTGACAGAAAAATGACAAATAACACCGTACCCCGGATAGATAAGATGATGAAGTGGTTGAAAGACTGAGAACTTTCGAGAAATTCAAATTTGAAGACCCATTTTTGTGTTAGTTTTGGTTATGTTGTGTGCTGAATGTGAGAAAAGGAGTCTAAAAGACACTGGTATGGGCAACAACAGTTGGCATCACTATATCGGCTTCCCATCGGAGACATTTGTCATGAATGCTCAAGTGTTCATTTGTTGAAGGGAACTGGAAGGGGTCAGCCACAATGAGACCTCTTCCGATCAGAACATCCACCGCATCTTCAAGGAATGGAGTTGACATGTTCACGAGGAAATCCACAGTCTGCAAGTAAAATGTTGATGCGAACGTAGTTATGTTTAAAAAGAAATAAAACAGCGCACTCCCCGCCAGGCGAGTGCATATCTTGGCAAACAACCGCGGCTTACTCATGTGGAAAGATGAAATCCCGCTCTCTTCAGTTCCTTTTCTCTCTTTTGGTCTTTACCTTTTGTGACATTAGACCAACTTTACTGTCGACCAGGTTGGCTTGTGCGTTTATCATGTTGATGTATCCTTTAACTCGCTTGTTCCTCATTTCCATTGTCAGTGTGAATTCTGTTTCTACGTTGATTGTCAGCATACTTCCTTCGACAGTTTTCAGAGAAGGAGCAGCAAATACCTGCAAACCGTCTTGTTTTGTGCTTTGTTTTATTAAAAAATACATTCAGTGAAGCGTTCAGATAGACCAGAGCTCTTCCTTCTTGAAGATCAATGACTGGAGGCGAGAGTGTGGATGCTTCCACAGAAAGAGTCCTGTTTGGAACTTGCTCTGCGAGCTCTGGCAAAACTGTTCCAATACAAAGCACGTCACAACTTGTTTTCAAAAACGGAGACTCTATTTTGGTCCTGCAATTCAATCCGTTTCGACTGTTAGCAATCACTGGATGATCAAACTGACTTGAGATGTCCAGCAAAGTGAGCGGCTGCAATGATGCTCTGAACGGTGTGCTCGTCAATGAACATGTCAATCATTCTTGTGGACCTTGGAAGTGACTCTGAGAACAGTTAGACTTTAAAATAATCAATTCTCTCTGTTGAGAATCCTACCAACACTAGTGAGCGTGGCGTTTTCTACCATTCCACTTTCCACAAATTCATCGTCCCAAATCAAATCACTTCTCATTCGAACGTCAACATGATGTTGGGTCATAGCAATCGATTGCATCGTTTGAATGAGTGTCACCTGAACAAAATGCTAAAAATGTATACGTCAATGACTGTTTCCCTTACATCCGGAGAATGACTAATTGTCAAATTGGTTGGGAATTGGTAGAGTTGCGCTTCAACCCACGGGAGCCAATGGTTTCTCATCATGTCACAGTACTCCTGAAAATGAATATGAAACAAGTTTTGTTCGCTTTTGGTCGTTACCTCTTCAAGAGTTCTTCTGATAGCTCGTGTGACACTTTGACGGAACCAATGTAGAACATCTGCTGCCATACTTCCCTTAAAGACAGATATAAAGAACATTGAAGGAAAACTTTGACTTACATCGAAGCTCACCCTCAGATCACGGATCTGAGCAACACAATGATGAACTTCCACTTCGTTGTCTTGAGTAATCTATAAAGAAAAGAGTTTCACAAACTCATGCGCTCAACTGAACTGACCTGCATGGCAATTTCTGAGATCAGACCGGTCATTTGCGCATGAATTTGTCCTTGAAGGGGGATTTTGAGCATGTGCAAGAACTGAGACTCGACCGCCCACTCGGCTGAGACTTGAGCATATCCACTGAGCGTGGACATGTACAAGAAGGAATGGTCCGAAGGTCGGAACCGGATGAGTGGAGGTACGAATCGTTTGATCGTGATGTTAGTAACACTCATTTCTCCGCCAGCAAAAGAGTTGTAAAAAGATTGCTGAAATTAAATATCATTTTGACGTCTGGAAAACGTCCAATACTCGTATTTCAGGCATTCTCATGTGTGGTCCAGCCATTGAAAGCCATTGTCGTGTAAAATTAGCAGCTTCATGTAAACCAAATTCGTTGACTCGTAATAATAAACTTTGTGAAAACTGAAATTCTAAAGTTCTATTCATAAATGACGTTTATCAACTTGCCTGTGCTATACAAAGTAGGCTAATAAGTTTGAAAAGCATTATATAAAACAGAGCGGTCGCGAGAGTCGGTCGGTTGGTAGGTAAGCACTTCACGCGGGTGGTCGCCTAAACTTCTTCAGTTATGTTTTTTTCCGTTGCTTGGCGGATCGGTCAAACTCGAATCGTTTCACGAGATAGAAACGAGCTAGAGGGGGAGTCGAGTTGCAAACAAAACGAACGATACGATGAGGCTCACGAGGTTAAATAAATTGGAAGCGAGATTCGGCGAAGCAAAAAAATGCGCGCATTCCATCATCTGTGTTTGGGATGATGGAATGGATAGGTTTGAGCGGCTGAGTGCTCGAGATATATCCTCGAAAAACGGACGACAAAGACGGTTCTGGAGTTGGGATCAAAAGCAGCGCGGATATCGGTTTTCATATTGTTTTTGTAAACGTTTGTCACGAACAGATTCCAAAAAGTAGTGTTTATTCACTATTCCAGGTGCAAAATGTTCGAACTCTCCCGAGTAGGAAGTCTATTTTCTGACATGGATCATCTTTCTCCTGTCTGACGGTATAAAAACAAAAGAAAACAGAAAATCTGTGCAAACAGTAGGGATATTTCCCGAAATAAATCCTATGGAACGTATCACAAACCAACGGAAAGTTTAAAAGAACTCCACTCGAAAGGTTCAAAATCACAAGTATGAGAGCCGCCAAGAGCACGCACGCATTCGGAAGGACAATGTTTGCCTGCTATCACGTATGCGTGAAACCAAATACACCCAACGAACAACACGAAAATTGGTTGCACTCGGTGAAAAGGTGGGAGCGCAAAAAGTTGACAAGTCGCCTGCTGCCGGCCTCCCTCTATTCACATTGTTGCAAATGTTTCTCGACACGAGCAAAGAGCAGAGCAGAACACAGAAATGACGGCGACAGTACGCATAATAGAGCCATAACGGAGCAAAAAGATCATTGAAACGAAGTGTTGTCTGGCGGAAAACCAAAATTGGATTGGAGACAGAGACTCGGCACTACGGTCGTCGAGAGAATGGATAAATAAAATAGAATTTCTGTTCAAATGAAATGGAGCTGTAGAAACAGGCGGGCGGGAGAACGAAACAATGAGGGTCGCCCCGCAAAAAAAGCCTCGCGCCACGATTGAATCGTCTGGATGCAAACGATAATATTTGTTCAAGATTCGTTTCTGATAAGCCGCCGCGCATTCGATTTGACCTAATGACCACTCGACCCCTGCTTGCGGTTGAAGTCTTCGAGACTCGGTTTCATCCCAAAAAACGGTAGTGATGATGGGTGTGTGCGAGCAAACTGTCGCTTGTATGCATTCCCGTTTTTGACAGCAGCACTCGTATGATGATGACAACTTAATGAGAGGAGGAAAGAGTTAGAGAACAAAGCGGAGAGGGATGAGCACTTTGCAGGTACACTAGGGTCGAACGTGAGAAACAGTAAAAAGTTTATCGGAACTCGGAACATATCAGGTTACAGTTCAATTCGATAATGTTGAAAACTGAACAGAGTAAGGAGTTCTCTGTTTTGCACATTTCCTACAAGTGTGACTGGAGGAAAAGTAGTGACGAGACCTGTGAACGACACTGTTCATTGGTTCTGTTTGCTTATTGACCGAGAGGTTTATGTAAATTCGGATTCATCAAACTTTTCGGAGCAAGGAATTGAGGGCTCTTGTTACTTTCGCACTTCATTCGCATGTCAAACTTGATGCCGATCATTTGAAACGTGGCGGAGCACTTGTTCTCCCTATTCATATTCGGGTAAAGTGTTTGAGAAGAACCTTTTCTCTGCGAATGTCTCCTGCCTCCTAATCTTTGCCTAAGATGAACCAACTGGCCGCGCGTTTCCTTTTTCTTCGTGATCACAGATTTTTGAGCGCTTTCAAAATGATTGAGCAAAACCGAAACGCAAATTTTGGCACTTCGGCGGCGGGTTCAGCTTCAGGTAAGCATTAAACGATGAGGTTCCGCGGGGGTGTGCACACGTATGCACACAAATGCGAGCGAACAGTACTAGCCACTCGGAGCGGACAAACTATTTGTTTGTCGAACAATGTGTGAGCAAATGTAACTTTTACTGACCACAACTTGCCGCCAATTTTGACGCCTGAAACATTAATTTGACACGTGTTCAACATGAAATTGTTTTTTGAAAACATTTATTTGTCAATTCATGTTTGTCATTTTATTGACTCAAAAATCGGATCGGCATGAATATACTGGAGCGAAAGAAGAAAATAGAGCAAATACAAGGTGTCTAGCCAGCTAGAAAATCGGAAAAGAGAACAGAATGCATGTTTCAAATATGGAGAATGTGTAAGGGGTCAGACATCAGAAGGGGTGACATCGTCGAGTTCACAGAACGGGTACTCTGGGTGGGTGCGTCTGAAATGAATTCATTTACTCTTCATTATTATCAGTTTTTGAAACCAACCTGTGTCTAAACGTGTACACCCGAGCACGAGGTCTCACACGTCCCAACTCTTCCATGTCCTGATCAGTGAGAGAGAACTTCATGCTTTCCAAGTTGTCCCTAAGCCGTTGAGCATCAGTGCTCTTCGGAATCACTACTATGTTTCTCTGAGTCAGGTGACGTAGAAGAATCTGTGCCGGCGATTTCTTGTACTTTTCAGCGAGCCAGAGAACAACCGGCTCCTCGAGTGGGCTCAAATCTCGCAGGCCAAGTTGTCTTCTCTGACCTACAAAAATGGTGATTTGTTCCCAATCAAAAGTGTGTTTGGTTTGTACCAGGACTTCCAATTGGAGCATAAGCGGTGAGAGACATGTTTAGTGATTGGCACAAAACCACGAATTCTTTTTGCGGCCAATGGAGGTTGACTTCAACCTGAAAGTGGAAATTGGATATTGGATATTAAGGCTCTAGTGCAACCTGAAGATTGTGCGGTTTGACAGTGGCCGTGCTATACACACGCTGGATCTGATCCACGTTGAAATTGGATATCCCTATGGATCGAGCCAATTTCAGATTGTACACCTGAAACAAACAACTTTGCGTTTCCGTTTCCGTTCGTTGCAGCTGGCAGACGTAATGTCAAATCTTACGGAGCCACCGTTTTCGTGAATTCTCGTTGTGCACCCTATCATTATCTTACGTCTTCCATCCCTTTCCATGTGTCCGGAAGCGATGTGTACGAAGCGTCGCTTGTGGAGAGTCCCCGAGGAGTCGAACGAACCTACAATTCACACGAAAAACTAGCAGACAAGGGAGAGAGAGAGGGAAGCTTTTTACCCGAACACCGCAAGGCGTGTTAACCAGAAACAAGTCGACGTACTCCATTTGCAGGTCTTTCAATTGTGCTCTCAGAGATTGCTCAACGCTCGGGCGGTCGTGCGAGGTGCACGGAAGCTTTAAAAACATGGATATAAATCGGATGAAGGATAACTTTTCACCTTTGTAGTGATGAAAATATCTTCTCGGTTGAGTTTTCCCGAGTCAATGTACTCTTTGACAACCTTTCCCACGATGGCCTCAGTTCCGTAGATACTGGCCGTATCAATGTGAGTATATCCAAGATCAAGGGCAGTCCGCAATGCAAACTCGACTTCTTTCTCCGAACTTGGAGCTCCCCCCGTTCCCAGTCCCATGAATGGTATCTCAACTCCGTTTCCCATCCGAATACGTGTCGGAATGTAGTCTCTACGAGGTGATGCACCTTCAATGGAAAGTTAATTTCGAATAGAAATCAGAGTGCATTATGGAAAATGTTGCGTACTTTAGATTCACCCACTTACTCACCGTTTTTTGTGGTAACCCATTGAATGACCGCTGATAACTTTTCTTGAACTTTCTTCTCCGGCATGATTGCTCACCGACAAAATGGGGGAAAAAAAAAGAACGGATGACTAGACGAATGGAAGTTTTGGAAAACAACCTATAATCTCTGATCCGTACTAATTGAGAGAACGATAAATTTAGATTAACCGATAGGAATCAGGAGTCTTCAAAGTTGTTGTCGGACTGAACACAAGCGCAAGATGGGAAGAATGAAGAGAAAAGAGCAATAAAGCTCGCGATCGAAACACTGGTGGAACCACTTCAAATTAATCCAATTTGTGTTTTTTTTTCTCGTTAGCTCTGCTTGAGGACACAAAGTTTCGAAAATGTTAGGGAGGTGCTCTAGACGTCAAGAAGAAGAGGAAAGGACTCGCGTAGTCCTCGAATAGACGCAGGCACCGCCCCTTAAATTTAGAGGGTTTGAGGGGCGAACGCAACGAGTCTAGTCATTGCACAAACCTTGCGATAAATCTCATTCTTTTGGCGGTCCGTTTCAGGGCAGCACACTCATCATACGTTAGGAAGGAAATGAGGAAATAAGGAGCGAGAGGGCCAGGAAGACAGATGTTTATAACACGTGTGTGTCATAAAATGGATCGGAAATGTGGATGATGTAAGGAAATGATTGTAAAATGAACAGAACCAGCTGGGTAAAAGTGCACTCACACCTTTTCATTCGGACACCGCACATGCAAGTTTTGAAGTTTGAACAGCGGAAAAAAACCGGGCAAAGATCATGCGACTAAATCAAAATCATATTGAAACCGCGCCGCTAATATACTTATCAAGAAGTTCGAACGAAACAATGTGATATCTGAATGTGTGTTGACACAGTTTGTTGATGAAATGTCGCCGATAAGAGAAAGCGCATAAGTTATGACTGATGCAGAAACACGAAACAAAAACGGGTTGCATATTGCATATAGCCTGGGAATATCCACTTGATAAGTGAACTTGTTTTTCGCAACTCAACGGGCCGAGCATGACTCAAAATTGACTCCTTTTGCAAAAGGAAAACGTGGCACAGTTGCGTAGCACCCGTCCTTGCACCACGTTTGACAGCCTCAGAAAACGTTTGTTTTTGAAGGTGAATCATAAAAACATCCTGGATTGAACTTTGCGAGAAGAAGGAAAAGAAAACATTCAGAGTTGTATTCTCGATCTGCAATATAATATCCAATAATTGTGCTCCCTTCCTACTACAATCCAAGTACACTTTGTCACAGAAACGTAATGACTAGAAACTAAAAATCTCGCGTGCAGATTTGCATTTGCCCTATCATTCCCTTTCGCATACTATAATTGTGTCCTGTTATCATAAAGTGTACCTGTCATTTCCGAACAATTTGATACGACCAGTTCTTTGTCTGACTGAAAGATTTTTGTTGATTTTGGAACATTGATTTTTGGAACAATCTCGTGCAATACGAAAAGTGTGACGCTATTCTCTATTCAAACTTTTAAATTCCCTAAAATCATTCGAGGCTTTTGTTCTGAAAAGAAAGAGCTAAGCCCACGGCTGATTGAATTCGCAAAAAAAGGTAGTGCTTATCCGAAAAATAATGTCTCTTGCACCGGCAAATCTTAATGTCTCTGGGATTGAAATGCAAATTTAACCCTTTTCGAGCGGATTTTTCCGAACAGACCATTGCAGAGTTCAAACACCCATAATTCAGGAAAATTTGTTTTGGCGTGAGCAATAAAATTGGTTACCAGAAAAATGCACTTCAATGATGTATGCAACGATAACATTGAACGGTGAATAAAACATTTGAACGGTGAATAATCCAATATAAATGAAAAATTTGAATTCGCTGAGTAAAGTTAAGAGGTTTGTCATAATAGTTATAATTTGAGTTTCGTTTCAGTCAAGGGACTTCCTTCAAATATCAGTGAGACTTTTTTCATATTTGGCATCTGGCGATCTCAGTGTTTGCAGCAGAAATGGCTGTCTTTGAACTCGGCTCCCACCTGAATTGCAAATTGAGAATGTTCAAGTTGGTTGTGCTCCCAGTAACTCACCATTTGCTGTCTTTGACAAATCGAGACTGCTGTAATCTGAAACATCATTCATTTTTACTCTAAAATGTCAGCTTTTAGTAAATTACCATGTTCATCGTCATCGGTAAGAATAGTTTCGTCCGTTTGATAGTGTTCAATCGGATTCGACGCTGATTCGTGGTGAGTATCTCTGCAAATTTTCAATTTTGATTATCTGCCAATCATGAATCACTTTACCTCAAAATGTTATCCAAAGTATCGTCATCATCCATGATGTATGGGGCATCCCCTAAAGATTCATCCTATTTCAATTCACTTTTAGGTTAAAGTTACCGATTGAGTACTTTTCATCGTCAGAATCGAGTAATTCCTGTCGAAATTTGGCATCGTCCCAGACAGGATTGTCGAAGAATATCATTGTTGTGTCCGATCCTCGAGGCTTTTGTCCCCCGCTGCCAAAAGTGATTGCCTGATATTCCTCCGGCAACGGTGGAAGCGGCACTTCGATGAACTTTTGCGAATCCTGAAAAAAGAGAGTTATAAGCTCTTCAGCACTTTTCTTTGCAATTTGTATTGTTTGTGTGTGTGTGTGTGTGTGTGCAACGTGTATTTGTGAGAAACTTGTATTAACTATCGCAAAAGCATAGAAACTGAAGAACAGTCTATTTTCATCACTCACTTTCCGAGCTGCCATTTCCATGATTTCCTCGAATACACCTTTTGCTTTTGCGCGATTTTCTGAAAACATATTCATAGTCAAACTTTTAGAATTTGTTATCTAAACCGTCAGCAATTGGAGCATGATCAATGGATTCCGATAGAGTTCTCATGCGACGTAGTTCTAAAAATATCATTTAATTGGATTCCGAGATAAGTCGATAACTTACTTGTCGTGTTAATGAATCGTTCGTGAAACTTTCCACACTCTCTGTCGCACGGCCACATCTCGCAATAGAGCTCAATACCCTGATTGAGCATTTCTCGATACATACTGAAACACTCGTGATGAATGAGAAGTATGAGATGAAGCAGACGAAGAGATGAACAAAAAGAGAAAAACCTGACTGCGGGTTACTAAGGGCAACAAAATGCGAATTTCCAAATATCAAATTCTTTATTTCTCTCCTCTCGCTCTACATTTTCAAATGTTGTCTTTTTTAAAGCTCACAATGATATACTATGTCTAGACAGGAGTTTTCAGATTCTTCAATGCAAGATGAAAAAAAACATGAAAGGAAACGTGTGAACCTACTGAACGGATTAGTAATATTACTTTTAGTGCAGGAGAATGAACATATCGTATAATAGACGGATTTGCCTCACAACTCTCGTTGATTGTGGCGATAAAGCTGGTTATATATCAAAAGAAACCAAAAAACTGAAAGATAAAAGTGCATATGAATTCAGACTGAAATGCGTTTTTAGTCTTTCCGCAGAATCACAAGGTTTCTGAAGTGCTCAATGATTAACAAAATTCACAAATTGCATATTACATAGAAAGCTTCAATGACATTAAATGGCATCACACGCATTTCTAACGACAAATGTTTGTTTTGAAAACATTACGGAATTGGAGTTTGCGTCGTTCTGATTGGGAATCCATAACTAATTCGAGTATTTAAGGCTAGAAAGCTAGGCAACACATACAATGAGCCTCGAAATGAAATGCTCGTTGAAAAGATAATTCTAGATCACGAGAAGAGGAAAAGCCCGGCGTAATTAGAATTTTCGAGAGAAACCTTTCATGAAAGATTAGCAACAAATATGGCCCGAATTTTGTTATAATGCAGATTAACATAACAGAGAATGTTGTGACTATGTACATACACGCCTGAACATAATTATAAAGCCACTCTATTTTTGTGTTTTTTTCCAGAACCAAAAGTGATACTGACATAGGTCTTTCAGATAGTAATCTATGCCAGAAATTCTCTCGAACAATTAAGCAGAAGACCACAGTTTAAACCTAGAAAATTGGTTTCCTTTCGTTTTTGATAGTACAATAGTATTATTTTCTGTGGGTTTTCGTTACCGTAGAGAAGAGGGATCACGACGGAAGTGAAATTAATGAATGCAATAAATCGATCACGAGATTAAATAATAATTTTTTTTTCAACGAAACAATTATTCTACAGAAAGGCTTAAAAGGCGCTCCAAACAGTTATAATGTAGCCGGTTCTATTATGTCGCAGTTCTATTCTGTGCAGTTCTATTATGTCGCGGTTCTATTCTGCCCAGTTCTATTATGTTGGACCGCCTGGATTACTGTCTGAAAGACCCATGTCAGTATCACTTTTGGTTCTGGAGAAAAACGCAAAAATAGAGTGGCTTTATAATTATGTCCAGGTGTGTATTTAAAAAATATTCTTAAAAATGGACAACAATGCTGGACGATAATATAAATAACTTCTAAAACTATTTTTTTCTCTCTGGAATAAATTATATTTGATATCACAAAAAAGTCATTTTATTCATTATTGTTTGTTTTTAATGCGCATCCATAATCGGGGCTGAAACGAAGAGATCGAGTTACAAATGTGCCATCAGAGGATTCAATTGACTTCATTTTCACTTTTTGTCTTTCTCTCTCTCTCTCTCTGTCCTCTTTCGCGTTGCCGAGAAATGCTCGACAACAAAACGAAACCGATCATATCAATAATTGTCTGATTTGCAATCGGATACCTGTCTCTAACAGCAGCTCGGTGATAATTGAGAAGATTAACAAGATGTGCGGCGCGGCAAAAGTGTGTAATCCGACGAGATCAACCTGACATGTGTTGTCATGTTCAGACAAGACGGCTCAGGTTACCGTACCTTAGACTTCGGAATTGAGCAACGGCTCAAATGTTAAGTTTTCAATCCAGTTTTTTCTTTAATTTTTGAAAGACGAGACCCTCATCTGAAAACAATCATTCAATTTTTCGCCATAAAATTCCCGATCATCGCTTTCGAATCCGAGTATGTTCTACACCACTAACGAGCATCTGTTTGTGGTTTTGATCCGATGCATCCGTCATCGCTGCCAGATATTTGAATTGGTTAACCGTTCCCTCCGTTATTCAATCATAGCAGCGAGTTCTGAATCGGAAGCATATTCTATTGTGTGCGTGTGTGCTTCTTTGTTGCTCCCACTTTTTATTTATATCTATGAAAAGGTGTTACAACTGATCATTTTATTACTTGTTGAATGTATTGTATTTGTTTGTGCGTAAATGAGACAGTGCTTGTTGCCAAATGAGTCAGCCTCCTACTGTGGCCATGCTTATTGCAAAATGCCCTTTCCTCCTCCTCCTGTACACACTCTTCATTCGCATAACTTTTTTTCTTAATTTCTTTGACTATAAGGTTATTCAAAAACAACTATTTCGTCGAATCGATATCACTTTTCGTAGTTGAAATCGACAAACGTCGCAAAAATCATACGTCAAAGTCCGCCTGTCCCGGCTGGGCCGGAAGGTGAAAAATTGTTGTGAGCCAGAAAAATGAAGAGTCAGTCAAAATTTTCGCAGACTTGTTGCGGGCAGGGCCGCTTGAAGTCTGACGATCACCCTGGCCCGGATTTCAGTTCGAATTGTTTTCCAAAATGTTGTGTAGCCCGGCTTATGGAAATTGTTTTGACTAAACGGTGATGAGGGGTGATGATTTCGATAACAACACACCGAGAGAATTTCTGTTTTATAGCCAAATGAAACATCAATCTGTTGCTCGCTATAAAATAGCAAAACGAATAAAATATCACCCGGTTCATCGTCAGTGCTTCGCTGTTTTATTGAGGGGTGAGTCTTGCTAACGCAATCAAAATTTATAGTGCTTGAGGAAGCAAATGACAATACTAACTACCTCCAATCGCCTGTCCTTTTCTGTTCGTTCCGATCGAAAAACCTGAGTCAACTTGTCCGCAATTTGTCGACAGTTATGGTTTTGTAGTAATACGCCGGTTAAGTTAAACGGATTTAAAACAGATATTGCAATTCGTTCATCCCATTTCACTTGTTGCCAATTTCTCGGTCACTTTTTTGTATGGTTATTCATTATCCCCCTTAACGTTCCACGTTTACAGAAACACTCCCAAGGTCCCTCTTAGTTTAGTTAGTGGAAATTTGTGCTACAAATGAGGCGAAATTCAACAACGCTTGAAAAATTGCGTGCTCATAGGCTCGTTCAAATCTCAATTTTCGCGCGAGAGCTTGCCCCCAAATTTTAATAAAACCCGTCGCCTCCAAATGGGGGGAGATGTTAAATGGCGCAATTCGCGGGTGCCGAAAGTGTTAGTAATTAAATTTGTTAGCACCCAACAACAAGGATTTCGCGCATCTTATTGGAATCTGTGCAAACACAAAGAGGGCGAGCAGAAGAAAAAATTCATTTCGGCATAGAAAGCCCATTGCTCACGTAATGGCAACAATTATACAAAATGTTAAATCACTTTTGAGAGGGGGTGAAATTTGTCTTAGCAAGTCGAAAATCGTGAGGCCAATTATTCTGGAAAATATAAGGAAAAGTGAAAATTGGAGGACACGCACAAATTGCTCATTGTCTAACTTTTCACTCATTCAATGAATTGCCTGAAAAGCAATTATAAGCGGGGCTCGTGTATTTCGAAACAATGCATTTTTGGTTTTCACGAAAATGTACCGTAGACCCAGCAGAATAGGGACAACAAATGAGCCAATACCCGTAGAAATGAGTTCAGTTTCCAAAAAGTCCCTTCCCTTCTTGATCTACTCAATTTTCTCAGCCGCTCGTTTGGCCAATTGCCTAAATCTTCCGCAAATCGTCAATCTTCGAATAACTCGGAAATAATACACATAAGTTTTGAATGATTCACATCATTAAAGGATCAGAAACAAGTCGAATTCGATTTGTTTTGCATTGTCGTCATTTGAGCGGAGGCACGAGCCGCGTACCCGTTTACCGTCCCTCGCCCAAATTCTAATTCCTTTTACGACTTTTGAAGCAAAGAAAAGGATAATGACGATTGAGTCCTTCTTATTTCAAACAACAGTTTTGGCCAATTAACGTCTTGTTTGAGAAGGGGGTGCTGAGCCGATTAGACAGACCTCCTCGCCTGTTTTCCAGTTGTACAGTAGTTGGACACGTCATCGGATTGGAAACGAATTGAACAGTCAAAACTGAAAATGGAGAGGGGGGCAGTACATCAGTTGAATACGAAAAAGGGTACGCTAACTATTCAATTGTATTTTCGGACTTTATGACGCGGGCACGTTCCCGCGAAATTCAAACCGGATCTGATCATTTTACAACTTGTGATTTTGGTGATCGACCCCTTTGGTTCCTATTTCTCTCTCTCTCTCTGTTCAAATGGTTAAGATGTTGCCAAAAAGAGAACAAAATGCGTTATTAAATCAAGGATTATTGTTGCCCACTCTCCTTCCTTTTCCTCTTCTTTTCTTCATGGGTTTATGTCAATGTTTGGGAGAAGTGAAATCTGCACGGAGATAAGATCTGTACGCATGTCGTGAAATGAGTCTACCAAAAAGTATTAGGGGGTGATTAGTTGAAGTCAAGGCTTATTTTGGAAAGGGAGGGGTGGCTGCCTGCTAAATGATTTGTCTCATATTCCGGAGCCCATTTTTCATTGGCATAACCGGCGCCCCTTGTGTCTGTCGAAGAAGAATACTCCCAGACCGCTCTACGCTACGACTTTCTTGAGAAAACAAAGATATTTAGGAGGGTTTTGATTGATTTACATGCTTTTGGTCGAACTGACACATATTAGGTTGTCAGGAAGCACGGCATGGCTCCATATAACTACGGGTTTATTTGAGATTCATTGCTACCTGTGTGTATAATTCCCTCAGCAGTTCCCTTTCCCTCTGCTTCACCTCATAAACATCATCATCATGTCACTGGCACACACACGCGACATTTCTCCCAACACGATTTGACGAGTGTTACGGTACGAATTGGTTTGTGCTGTTGAAGCGAGTTACGTACCGATGATAACGTGATTAGGGCCTAAATAGGGT